TAAATAGCAAAAACCCCCAGAGATATATAAATTATTCATAATAATAACTGTGCAGGCTGGCTGAAGGAGGGGTGTTTTTATTATGTGCAAGAGTTTTCTGAATCTGCTCAAATATGTTTTAAAATCTCTCATTTAAAAGATAGTTCTTCCTTTAAGCCAAACATAGTCACTCTTCAAGGATCCTTTAAAAGGCCAAAGTATCAAATTTGTTATTGATTTTTTTCATTCTTCTTAGTTCTCAAAATATTTTAATCTTATTATACTACTCAGGTCCTATATCACTATTGGTCATTCTTCAGGCTCAGTAGCACATCTTAGGTTTGGGAAGAAGGATGGGATTTGGAGGAATAATGTAAATGGTATAACTCATTGATCTGAAGTATAATGTAATTTTTAGTTGGGTTCCCTTGAGCAAGTAACAATTGCTGAGCCTCAGTTTCATCATTGATAATTCTGGCAGTAATCCATTCTTCTCTCATAGGGCATTGTAAGACTTGAAGGAGATGATGTATATACGTGTATTTTTAAACAATAAAATACCAAACAACTAGTTAAATAAAGTGTAACCATTTCTGACTGCTTCTATGCATTGTGTTCTACAAGTGCCATCGAATCACTTTTTAATTAAAATTAAACTTTTAATTTTCCTCATCTTTAAGATCTTCTTGAGAAGTCTCCTCAGTGATTCCTAGTAGCTTAGGAATCTTTATGTGAAGAATTTTTATATGCATATATCTTATCCTCTCTTGATGGGATTGTGGTCTAGATTTGGGATGCAGACAATACGCAATGTTGGGAGACTTGAGAGGACAATCAGCAAAAAAGAGTACAGGTGTTTCTCCAACTGCTCTTGGTATAGATTCTTGCTATTACAATCTTAAAAGTCCTTTCTCAATAATATTCAGGGGACTGGCATCTTCAGGCCACGATTATAGTCTCTGCTCTGAAATGTTCCCCATCTCTCTACTTATGTCAAGGCATCCCCTGAAATTTTGGCAGAGTGGAGGAGTGGAGCACAATGTGTGTTCTCTGCAGCTGGACACATTGCAACAAGAAAGGAGAGAGGGAAGGACTGAGCCAGGAGGCACACTCAGATTCTCTCTTTAAACTTTCTAATTAAAGAAGTAAATCCTCTTGCCTTAGGGAGTGCAGCCTAAGTAATGAATGTTAAGGGAAATAGCTTTCTTCATGGAAATCAGAAGTAGATGACAAGCACCCGACTCCGACCTTGATCATGAATGAATACAGGATCCAGTCCGAACTATTTAGTGATTTTTCTCTAGGCACAGAGGAAGCAGAGAGTTGGTTTCATACAAGATTGTGTTTTTAGCAGACAAGGAGACAGTAAGAGAGGCACTAGAACTTAGATTACTGGTAAGAGGGCTGTTGAAATTATGGATGATGGAATCTAGGTTGGATAAGAGTGGAAGATAAATGCAGTAAGACAAACTTGAAGGAAGGATCAATTGCCTGAAGGTCCTAATGAAGGTGGAGAAAAGTTTCAGTGGCTATAGTCTCACAAATAAGCTGAAAGGAAAGGCGGTTTTATTCAGAAGGCTGAACTAGTGATTATGAAGGTGGCAGCAATGTCTTGAATGTGACAGTGGGATTGGTAGCAAAGATGAGTGGGTGAGAGGTCACAGATGATGAGGCAGTGAAGGAACTAGGAAGCTTCATGTGCTAGACATTTATTTATCTGTCTATACTTGCCTCTCACTTTCATTGTCTTGTTATGAAACAGACTTTTCTGGGAACTATGGAGCCAGGTAGAGATTGGTTTTAGCTACTACATTTCTGTCAAGGTTCATATGATATAAAATTATATTCAAGTTAATTTACATAATAATTGATATAAAGGTGATCCTTTAAGTGTGTCTTGAAAATAGCAAAGCCATTTGAAATCTGGGGCACTGTGAAATGAAGGTCAATTAATGGCTTTTTTCACTGTTATGAATTATTTATAACACTTGAAATAATATAAATTTAATGGTTGTGATAATGACATAACACAAGAATAAAAAGATGACATTCTATAATATTGAATTTGAAAATTATTTTATATTAATAAGTCAATGGAGCAAGAGATTAAAGTGGATGGAAGTCTAATTGTGATTCCAAGGACATGTCCTCATAGAAAGGCTTTCATGGGTTACCAAACCTCCTGAGAACTATAAGACATTGCTTAACATAGACTGTTGGCAAAAAGGACACCAATTGATAGTCCCAAGAGATTCTAGCAAAGCTAAGATAGCAAAGTATCAACAGAGACACAGGTCTTCAAGAAAGCCACACTTCGGTTCTGTATAAACGCCACCACATCACAAGAGCATTCCATCAAAGCCGCAAGTACAGATACAACACCAAAAGCACAATTGATGAAAGAATTGATAGATAAACTTCATTAACATTAAAATTTCTGCTCAAAGACGTCATCAAAAGAATAAAAAGAATAAGTCACAGGCTTGGAGAAAATATTTGCAAAGGACATATTTGATAAAGGACTGGTTTTGTTGTTGTTGCTGTTGTTTTTTGAGATGGAGTCTCGCTCTGTCACTCAGGCTGGAGTGCAGTGATCTCGGCTCACTGCAACCTCCACCTCCTGATTCAAGCAATTCTCCCTACCTCAGCCTCCTGAGTAGCTGGGATTACAGGCACCCATGACCATGCCAGGCTAAGTTTCATTTTTTTTTGATAGAGATGAGATTTCACCATGCTGGCCAGGCTGGTCTCCAATCTCTGACCTCAGGTGATCTGCCCGCCTGGGCTTCCCAAAGTGCTGGGATTACAGGTGTGAACCACTGTGGCTGGCCAGGACTGTTCTTTAAATATACAAAGAACTCTTAAGCTTCTACAATACGAAAAAACAACCCGATTAAAAAATGGGCCAAAGATTTCAGGAGACACCTTACCAAAGAAGGTATGCAGATGATGAATATGCATACTTTAAGAAGCTCCACAATATATGTCATCAGGAAAATGAAAATTAAAGCAACAGCGAGATGGCATCACACATCTATTAGAATAGCTCAAATCCAGAATGCTGAGAACACCTAGTGCGGGTGAGGATGTGGAGCAATAGAAACTCCAATTCATTACTGGAGAAGACACGAAATCATACAGCCACTTTGGAGGACAGTGTGATGGTTTCTCACAAAACTAAACACACTCATACCATATGAGTCAGCAACTGTGCTGTTTAGTATTTATGCAAATAAATTGAAAACATGTTCACACAAAAACCTGTACACAAATGTTTATAGCAGCTTTATTCATAATTGCCAAAACTTGGAAGCAGTCAATATATCCTTCAGCAGGTGGATGGATGGACGGTGGAATATTATTTGAGGCTAAAAAGAAATGAGCTATGAAAAAATATGAATTTAAATTCATATGACTAAGTGAACGAAGCTAATCTGAAAAGACTATGTACTGTATGATTCCGCTTATATAACATTATGGAAAAGATAAAACTATGAAGACAGTAAATAGATCAATGATTGCTAGGAATTAGTGGGTAGGGAGGGATGAATAGACAGAGCACAGAGGATTCTCAAGGCAGGGAAATGATTTTTATATCATAATAGTGGATACATGTCATTACAAATTTGTTCAAACCAACAGAATAGACAACACCAAGAGTGAACCCTAATGTACACTATGGACTTTGGGTAATAATAATGTGTAAATGCATAATTTGTAACAAATGTACCACTTTGGTGGAGGATGTTGATTATGGTGGGGGCTTTGGGAAGGGGGCAGGGGTAGAGAGGATGTGGGAAATCTCTGTACCTTCTGCTAAATTTTGCTATGAAGTTAAAATTGCTTTTAAAAATAAAGTGTGTGTGTGTGTGTGTGTGTATTTTTTTAAATACCCACAGATATCTGTTAGTCCCTTCTTACTAGCTCTAATCCCTCAGGAAAGATCTCTAACCAGTGGTAACTGGTGACTCACTACTGAACCATATACATGTCTGTAGTTGGTGATGCAACTTTGTGACAATGCTATTAAAAATAGGAATTTCATGTCACACTCCAAAATGTTAAATTGCTTAATTTGACAGAAGTGTCTTTTTGATAGGCAGCTCTCACTGATTTTTCAGCCTTACCTCTGGAGGACTTATCAGATCAATAAAAGGAAAGAAGAAATATTTCTTGTCTGGGTATCACATTTTCTTAAGTAGAGATTATCTTTCTAGAATAGAATGGAAGATGTTTTCAATTAAGAGGCTTTGAGAGGTTAAAATGTGTGTGGGCAATGAGAAAGGGATGTTATGTGCAGCAGGGGCACCAGGATGCAGAGTTGGAGATGCTGAGCAGGTTCAGGTGTTGGTTGGGATTAACCTAATGTAGGTTTTCCAATGACAACAACAACAACAACATTTTTCCTAAGCCCTGTATGTGCCTTGCCTGTTCTCTTATTATTTAATGCTACAGATTCCTCATATGAGTACACTTTGAAGAGTAAATGAAGAAAGTTTACATTTCTTTTGGTATTTACTATATGTATATAACATTTTCTCTATTTAAACTCTATAAAAGTATATAATATTCTTTCTTTAGTGAAGAGAAGCATCAAATCCCCAATGTCTATGTCCTTTTCTACAGATAACAAGTTAATCCCACAAAATAGATACCTCTTTACAAATAAGAACAAAAATGAGAAGTTAAAATTTGGAGGAACATGAGGTATGAACGAAAGTGAGAACTATGTTTTGGGAGAAAACGTTATCACTTGATAACATCTGTCCTCATCTATTTATTTAATATTTAATATATCCCAAATTTTGCATACCACAAAACTCCCTTTCCTTTTCCAGCACAATAGTAGGTAGTCTAACAACAATGTCTATGGCAGATCGGTATATTAGAGAATAAAGAAAACATTTGAGAAAGACAAAAACCACCCAGCTTCGTTGCTTTTCTTACTCTAGAATAGCTAGCCACCTATTCACCCTTTCTATTTTTGAGCAAATCAAGCATCTGTTTTATTCGGTACTTACCAGCAGTAAGCTGAGAACTGAAGATTTCAGGCAGTTTTCTGCCTGGACAACTTGCGCCATGAAGCAACTGGTGCTCATCTCTCCATCGCCCCTCTCCTACTGCCAGGAGTGAGTCTGCTCTCTTCACCTTCTCCCACTACCAGCTTCCCCAGCTCTGCTGCCAGGCCTTAGGAGAACACACAGGCCACAGGTTCTAAGTGATCTCTGGGAAGCTCAGGGGCTTAAGGTTCAAGTGATCTCCAGACCAGGTCTCTCAGAGGAGCTACAAAATGGATTAAATAGGTTGTTGAGGCTTTGTCTGGAAAGCTTTTCACCAATTATAATATGTGAGTGCCAATAAATGTTTATAACAGAGCTCTTTTTTATATTGGTAATCACTTTCACCTGCATTTGTTGTGGGACCTCGTCTCTTTGTGAAAGGAACCTGTGGATGAACTTGGGAAGATTCAACTCAGCCAAGTAAAAAGTGTGTGTTAAAATTGCTAATTTTTAATATTAAAGCATACTAAATTCTGAAGATGAGCAGGAATACTTTGAAATCTCCACTCTCCATTCACCGTCAGGTAGTTGACACTAAACTAAAACAGCTTGAATGCTAAGATTTCTGCATTTAGACTTTCCCTTAAAAAAAAATTTGTCTAGTCACTTACTCTTGATTATCTCTGTTTTTCTCACCTATAGGTCTTTAATCCTGAAAGAAAAAATGTGGACTTCCCTCTAGTACATAAACATTAAGTAACTTTGGGTCTGAAATGGGTAATGCCAATCTCAATTTTACAAAGTGATGTTCCTCATTAATAAAGAATACATGAAGCCTTAGGGAAATGCTTATCATAAGCAAGCCCCCAGTCCAATTGTACATGATTTATTCTAATGTGAGCCTGGGTCAAACATCCACATGTGATGTTTGGGACATCTCATTGCTCTTTTCCTGCAGTTTTTTGGCTTATCTTTTTGAGGTTAACCTAGAATGCAACATAAACCATATACAGACTGGTGGAATAAAAATTCTGAAGTCTTACCTCAGGGCACCTGATGATTTGGGTCAAAGAAATATCTTTCTTTGACGTTATTTGTTATAATTTAGGAGCCCCAGGGTACTCAATCTGTCTCCAGTCATGCTGATAGCTTCATCAACTTCCTAATAAGTGTTTACATAGATGTAGTTGTGTAATACTATCTGATGCCACTGAGCACCACCACTCCCTCCTTGAATTCCCTTTGCCTTGAACTTCCAAGTTCCTGCCTCTGGAGTATTCAGGACAGCTCCTCAGTTCCCCTGAGTGTAAAGAGAGGAGGTGGTAATTAATGCAGTGTCACTTCAGGTACACCAGAGAAGTTCCCTGCAAGCCTTCTTAGACTTCTCTTCTTACATACACTGTCTTGGCATAGCCAACCACTCAAGGGGACTCTTTACTTAGAGCTGAAAGATATATAGCAGCACATGTATGAAATCTATGAAATACGCACCAAGATAGCAAATGCTTGATATCAGTGGCTTAAAGCCCTCATGACACCCCCCGGAATACACAAAAGCCTCTGTGACCGTCACTGCCTGCCACTGTCTCCTTCTACAGTATGAGATGGGGGTGCTTCCTTCTCGACTTCTGCCCAGCTCAAGGCCAACAGATACTGTGCTTTTGAAAGGATTCTAACCCTTAATCTGTGACCAGTTTTCATGTTAGAGTTTATGTTTCTCTCTCACTCAAAGAAAAAAAATGATAAAAACAAGTGCGAATGATCATAATAAAAGTGTGCAAGATGATAAGTGTCAATTGTGTGAAACCAACATCTTGGGGCATCAGACAGCATGCATTTTTCAGTTCTTTTCCCTAATCTGCCATTCCCTGTCTCCTATTCAGACAGAAAGACATGGGCAGGCATTTGCTCAAGGGAAATGGCATTTCATTCAATAGTACTTTACTTGGGAGATTCAATCTCTGAGCACCAAGAGTGAGCAGGGAAAAGGAGAAGTTGGCCCCTCTTATTCGTGGGTCCTACAAGGCTGACTGAAAGACCTGAGCATCCATGGATTTTGGTATCCTTGGGGGGTGCTAGAACCAATCCCTTGGTGATACCAAGGGATGACTATACAAGGAGATAGTTTAACATGCTGGCCACTGCTGCTCAGTAGGTCAAGAAAAGACACAGGTGTTTATACTCAATCATGCAGGATGACTCTGGACAGGCTATGCAAAGAAGTAAGAACACTGAACATTCTATTAATGCAGAAAGGAAACAATAGTGATATAACCTTAAATTCTCATAGAGGTTTACTGCCCCACCACCACTTTTTGGATGCATGTTTCATACAAGCCATAGAGATTTTCTTCTGAGGCCTGCTGTTTATATGCCTGGATTGCTCCTGTCAACTATGTCCTATTGGTTAAAGTTTTCACCATAGAAACTAACCCTCCCATACTTACAGTTCACAACATCCAGTCCTTTTCCTTTCGTCACCTCTCATAAAGTTAGATCCCACTTCCTGAAGTGTGCTGTAGTGTTAAATACATGTTTGAAGGTGGCAGAAGGAGCCAGAGACTGTAGGAATTTGAAAATTTGTTGGCCACAGCAACAAAGGATAAGAGGGCTGATGTGGGGCTGCTGAGAGTCTAGCAGAGAAGTGAAGATGATAAAATCTGACAGGGCACACAACATGCTTCTAAAAATAATAAATTTACGTGTAACTGAGCAAGGAAGACATGCCTGGCTACTAAATCTTCACTTCTTCCACTGATCCTGACATAGTTGGTACTTAAAACTTTGTTCACCTATTTCCAATTCCATAACCCTTTGCTATCATTCAGTTAAGGTTCTTACCCTAACAAACTAACCCAAACCTTCATTCCTGAAGAGTACATGATCTTAGTAGTATTGTCTATTTGAGGTTACTTAAATGTCAACTGTTAGAAATGGACATAAAAATACTAAAAGCCCCCCCAGCAAGATTCCCTGTGTTCTAGTAGCACTCATTATTATCCCCGTTATGTAGCAGCAACCCTGTTATTCATGATTTATTAGATCACTTCAGCCAAAACTGGATTTTTAAAAACTGTTTACTCAAATACATAAAGAGGAAGTACAAGTGGTTGAGTTCATGCATTATGTCCTACACGGCTACCATCATGATCCAAAGGAACAAGCATTGGGGCGGCTGGGCAGAGCTGCTGAGAGACACACATAGCATAGGTTGCCTTTACCCCTGATTATTGAGAACCTTCTCTGCAGAGGGGATCTTTCTATGAGCATTCACAAACACCCTCTTGACCCATTCAGAAGAGGTTTATTGCTGTCTTCTTTCTCTAACTTCTTGGTTGGTCATCCTCCATTATTTTTCCTTTCAAGTCCCTGACCATTCAGGAAAACAATTAGTCATTACCCATGATTTGGTGTGCATCCTTACCTGTAGTTATTTCTTTTTGAAGGCAAAGAGGACACTCAGATGTATCAACTCAATGTTCTATCCATTAGATGGGTAGAATAACCTTCAGAGCCACGTTTTAATGCATCTGTAAATCTGTAGCGGTTCACTTCTGTATGGTGTCAGGAAATTTACAAAGCCTCCTATAAATGGAAACCAAAATTTTTTTTTCTTAGTCAAGTGATCTTAGAGATCTTCCCATTAATCAGTGAGTATGGCTCAAGGAGAGTTGGTAATGTGTCAGGATTAGGTGCATTAGAAGCATTAACCACCAGTTCATGCACTTATTTGTGACCCTGACTTCTCCAAGCCTGATAATGTTTATGTCACTTCCATTTTACAATGGAATACTTTCAGGAATCTCATATTATTGATGACATATTGGATAACATTTCCTGTGTGATGGGAAACTCAAGTCAAAATTCCCTTGCCATTTTTTTTTTCACTGCCATGGATGCTATACCAAGACCTAGTAGCAAATCAGGAGAATATTTTCTGAAAAAGCCATGACTTTGTTTGAAAGTTCTAGAACCTCTGCTGTGATTATTCTATTATGACTGCTATTGGATCTATACAGTACATCAAACTCTCTCAGACATATTGAGCAACATTGACTTTACTGAGTCATAAGGGCAGACTTCGTGACTGCAACCTGCATAACCTTTTCTGGCTTGGAGCACACTCCAAGATAGTGATCTTACAGATTTAAAAAGTGGATCAGAGAAGTACAAATATACTCTGAAAACTGACATATATTACCTCCAAAACAGAACAGAAGAATATTCATTAAACAGCGTGCCTCTTTTCTTAGATCAAGAAGCATAAGATGCAGTGACTTATGTTTCACTTTGGAGGTGATATTCTAAATAACTCTATATGCAGAAACTCTCCTGAAGTGGCATTTCCTTGAATTCTCATAGAGTAGTTTTTGTTTGTTTGTTTTTACCTACACCCTGGATGCATGTATCTTACAAGCCATAGAGAAATCCTCCCAAGTTAAACTCTCCACAAGATCTTAGCAACATGATTTCATGTAAGTCATACAGTATTATATCTTGTGGAATAATGTAATGTTCTTGGTTCCTGTGGACCATTATAACAAAGAGCCATAGAGCTGATGTAGCACTGAGGCAAAACGTGCACTGCTGGACCTTTCAGGTAATGCCACTGGATCTGGTATTCTCTGACTATTGAATTAGGGAAAGTAATAATAACATTTGTCAGCTCTATAGCTACATGACAATTGTCAAATGATTTGTGTGTTGTGCTAGCAAAGGCATGACATCTAAGAGAGCAACTGTAACTCAAGCCACCAGCTAATTAGACTTCTCGAATAAGTTGTTATTAATCCTACATTTTTTTTTTTTTGCACAGGTCAAACGAGTAGGCAAAAAAAGAACGTGATGACAATCACTGTTCCCTCTGTTCCATCCCACATGTCTTTTCAACTTTGTTATGAGGTTCAGAAGATGTCAGAAACTTCCATTTGAACTTCTAGTTGGCATGTTATACTAAATTCATAGGTTAAAGAACAAAAATAGGGATGCTGTGGGCCAATGAGTACAATCATTAATTGTATACCCAGGAACACAGGATGGTCTGTTGGACCCACTCCATCCACTTTAAGATACTTCTCATTACAGATGAGAAAACTCAGGTAAAGTAACTTGCCGAAGTCTAAGTAAGCAGTGGCTGTCAGGATGAGAGCCCATGTCAGTGTTTCCTAGGACAGTGCTAATAAAAACTACCCTAAAGTGATTTCTGTGATTTAAAATAGCTATTTGTTTGGTTTATGGACTGTGTTGTGTTTCTGAATGTTTCAAAGTGTTTGTCCTGCCCCTGAGAAGTAAATTCCCTTCACAGCTGTGGCTTATGGAAATGAGAATAGTTTAAAAGAGAATATTCCTATCAATGGAATATTGCATTAACTTAAGAGGCACTAAAGTGATGCAGCCTAAACAAAACAAGTTAACATTGTCACTGGAAGTCATCTGTGATTTGCTTAGACTGCAACACTTTAGTGCTTCTAAAGTTAATGCATTCTCTGCCACTTCTCTGCACTAACATATAGTCATTCTAGTCATCACAGGGACAAGGATATGATCTACCTTCTACTATATTCTTGGTGCAACTAATGTATCATCAGACTGGAAATTTTTAAGTTTCATGGTGCATATCAAAACTAATATTAAACTCCTTTCTAGAGCTGAATATCATTTCGAGCTTGTGAAAAAGCAACATATTCTGTTCTCGATCTTGGTATGCTTTAAGCATTTTTCTCTCTCTGTTATTGGCCTGAATTGTCTTTATAATTTCAAGGGAATATTATTTATTTCTCCATTAATTTAAATATCTGCATCAAGTTTTCATTCCAGTAATTTCATACTAACAAAGTGGCTGAGAGGCTGAAAAGGCAAGAGTCACAACCACTCAAGTCCATGTCTGGAGAAAATGACAGCTTCTAAGGCATATGGGAGATGTCACAATGACACAGTCTCAATCTCCATGCCTGGAGCTGCCTCCCAGGACCATATGAACCTGCCCCACCCCTGTGAGTCTCTTCTCTGTCTTAGATATTGGAGAATTTAGCTCAGTCTTTATAAAAGCCATATTTACCAGTTCCTTATGTCCTTGAAATAATGAGTTCATGAAGATGCCACAGAGATGAGAACAAGTTGGTTATCAGACTTATCTATCTTAATCACCCCAAAATAGCTTTATTCACTGTATGATCTTTTAAGTACCACATTTAAACAAAGGACAGCAGGAGAAATATGAAATGGGAGCAAGACTAGAGGGTCAGATTAGCAGTTAGGCATAATTTCTATCAAGTATAAACTTCAGAACAAAGAGAAACATAAATCTCCACAGTCTTGTGATTAACAATTTGAATCTCCAGCACTTTATTATTTCTGCTTTATGCTACTTCTTTCTTATTACTCCCTCCATAATTCTTCTGCCAATGGGGAAATTTCCAAGAACTACCCTAGGCTGGTGTTTCTCAAACTATGATGTATATACAACTCACCTGGGGATCTTATTAAAAACCAGAATCGGATTTGGTATTCAGGTAGGACCTGAAATTCTGCATAACAAGCTGCCAGATGAAGCTGATGCTGCTGGTCTACAGATCATGGGCCACTCCTTGAACAGTGAGGTAGGGGACAAATTCCTCGGGAGAGGGAAGATGCTTTCCTCACTGTCGTCTCCACTTTCCTGCTCGCCCCCTACCCCCACCCCAGGCCTCAATACCAACAAATAGCGCAGCTAGTGTTTGTTAGCTCATCAGTCAATGGGCAGACATTATGCATAGTCATGGCTTTGGGGCATAGTAACATCTTATTTGATGTAACATCTGTCCAGCTGCACATCAAGTCCTGGCAATTTCTCTTCTAAATATCACTTACATGTTCTCTCCTTTGTATCTGCACTACACACCAGTTTTTTGACTGGTCTTCCTGCTTTTCCAGCTTCTCTTCCCTCTAATCCATTCTCTTCACTTCTGTCAGAATGATAATCCAGAAACTGGATTCTTACTGCCCCCAATGCAAACTCTAAGCTCTCTACTCCTATGGTTTTAAAAAACCCCTTTTCCTTCTGGGTGATGTCCAAACTTCCAGGCTGATAGCACACCACTGCCTCACGTAAATCCTGGGTCCCTGCTCTACAAAAAAGTTCATGGCTCCTAGAAGAGGCCATGTTCTTCCCCTGCTTTGTACATGCCTTATTTTCTCTCTGAAAGGTTCTTCCCTTCTCTCATCCCTTCTTTTGATATTAAACACTTCCTTCAAAATCCAGCTCCAATATCATCTGCTTATTAAGGCTTTTCTGAATTTCCTTCTACTCTCAGGTATGGTACAGTTGTGTGTTCTCTCCTGTATGCCCATGCTAAACCATATGTATCCCTCCAAACACACATTTTACAGTGGTCTATCAGATTCCTTTACATAGCAGCCCATCTCCACTAACACTGTGGGTTGTTTGAATATAAATGGTGCCTCATTCATCTTTTCTCCTGCTAAAGTAAAAAACAGTGTTTGTTTTATAGAAGCTGCTCAATATTTTTTTGCTGCATAAATCAGCGGGGAGCTACATAACTGTAGAAACACATACCAACAACTTTCTCACCTAGGGGCTGGTGGCTGTAGTGAAACCTGCTTCCCTACCATGATTTCCTCTCATAGCACTTTGCCTGGCCTCTAACATGGAGAAGAACTTCAGCAGTGGGAAGAGGAAGGAGTATAAAGAGGTGCCAAAGGGGCCAAAGACGCTCCAGTCTTCACATGAATGTTTGGGTGTCCCATTTGGAAATGTAATTGAGCACAATTTCGAAGATGTCACACCAAAATTATTTTCAAGAGATTAAACTTGGAAGAAAGAGAGAAAGTAAGAAAGAAAAGAAGAAAAGAAAAAAAAGAAAAGAAAGAAGGGAGGAGAAGAGCGGGATGAGAGAGGGAGAAAAAAAGAAAGAGAAGGAGGAAAAGAGGGAGAGAGGGAGGGTTGGAGGAAGGAAAGAGGAGCTGAAGGGAAAGAGAGGGCATGGAGAGAGGGAGGGAGAGAATGAGAAAGAGAAAAGGAAAAAGAAAGGAAGAAAGAAAGAAAAGAAAAAAGAAAGAAAGAGAGGGAACAAAAGAAAAAATAGAAAGAGGGAGGAGAGAGAAAGGAAAGGAAGAAAGAGACGGAGTCAGGGAGGAAGGAAAAAAGCAGGCAAGCAAGCAAATGAGCTTAAAAAGTAAAGATTTCTTCCTTTTTTCCCCCCAAACACGATATTTGCAATCTTTGTGTGAGATGTAGGAGGCATTTCACAGGACTTATCTATGACTAATGATTATGTTCTCCTCTAGGAAAGGTGTGATGCATGTGGAGTGGGTTCAGCCTCCTCTGAAACTGTCATTTCTCAGTTGGATTTGAAGTCCCACACTGCTGGTGAAGCCCCTCCTTGCTCTGGGCTCAGCAGACTAGAATGTGTGCTGCGTGCACAGCCACAGCTCCTCCCACTGTGGATCTGCCATGAAATCCTAAAGGAAGAGGCCTTTGCACTCAGTGCCCGGGACATTTCTTTTCTTGAAGGACTTGTTCTGAGTGAGAAAGTTCTCTTGACTGGTTCTGGCACTTGTTTGGGTGTCCCTGCTTATCTTACTTCCCATCATCCATATGAAAAACACATCTAAAACAGACAGCATTGAAGTATAATTTATTTTAAATGCTGTTCAATTGCAATTTTTTCTTCCTACCAATCAGGTTATTTAGAAATAGACAACTTAGATTTGCTCTAAGGAATCTCCTCATTTTGTGGATGAAATGACAGACCTAGAGAAAGAGAGGATCTGAGAGAGGTAACTCTGGATGGTGACAGGGCTAGAACTAGAATCCATATTTACGGAGTGCTGGGCAACCTCAATCTCTAATGTGTAGAATACATTGTGTACTTTTTATTAAACTATGTAGTTTTTTAGTTTGGAATCAGAAGACCTGTGTTCAAACCCAAGACCTATGATTTTCTAGTTTTTCCTGTTCTTATACTGAATCCAGTATTCTCTGCTATAAAACAGGTATAACAGTTACTATTCCCACAAGGTTATTGAGAGAAACAAATGCAATTATGAATAAAGATGCATTTTATAAAGACATCATATAAACATTAATTATTGTTACTTCTAACAGTTTGCTAATTTTTTGCATAAAGATTCTAATATAATTTTGTGCCAGCCACAAAACTAATACAAACTGATTTTAAAAGTACTTAAAAGTTCAAAAGTGCACCTGTGACCTATATAAGATGATGGAATTTCTTAGTGAGCTATAAAGTTGTCTTCAGTATGTCCTTTTTACAGATGGCCATGCCTCAACACACCTTTTAATCAATGTTGAGTACGTCATTTGTTTTAAGAATTAGCCAGCATGTTCCAGACACTGGTTCTTGTTATCTTACCCTACGTCATTTTTCCCCACTTTGGGACAGTTAATGCCAAACAAAATTCTCAGATTTTGTCAAAGAAATGATCCATGGGAATTTCCCACACCAAGTTTCCCTGGAATTCAACAATTCAACAGAAGTTTATCAAGTACCAACTGTAAGAATGAAAATTCACACTTGCATAGACTCTAAGAATATGTAGTCTGCTCTGGCTGCTACAGCAAAATAGCACAGACTGATGATTTAAGCAACAGAAATGTATTTTCTCACATTTCTGCAGGCTGGAAGTCTATGATCCAGGTACAGGAAATTCATTTCCTGGTGAGGGTTTTTTCTGACTTGTAGATGGCCACCTTCTCACCATGTCCTCACATGGCCTTTTCTTGGCACATGTGGAGAGAGCGAGCTTTGGTGTCACTTACAATGACACGAATCCCATTAGATCAGGAACACACCCTTATGAGCTTATTTAACCCTAAGTACTTTCCTAGAGACCTAATCCCCAAATGCAGTCACACCGAGGATTAAGCCTTCAACATGTGAATTTGCAGGGACACAAACACTCAGTTCATAACAATCACTAACAAAGCCATCATCTCTATAGTCTGCAGAGATCATGAATATCTTTCCCCATTTCACGGAGATATCTCAGTGACATAAAGTAACTTCTTCAGGTTCCTTGGTGCCACGTTCTGATGCTAAATGCAATGTGTTTCTTATTTCAACACAAACTGTTGCCTCTGGCTATTCATAAGGTTTAAAAGAAATCATAATACCTTGCAGATGCATTATCGAGTTCATGGGTACAAATAAGGGTGGGAGAAGGTCTGTCACTCTGACACTCCTTTAGTCCCTAATTTGTAAATCCTTATACAGTATATTACATGTAAGACTATTAGCATCCATGCTAAAGCAAAACAGTCAAATGAAAGACATTAAGGACAGCTGGTCATTACAGTTGTTTTTGTGTAATACACCTTTCTCTGTGACATGTGAGCATGAAGAAAGGAGGAAAGTGCACATTGGTGTTTCTTTCAGCCTCCACGAGGACAGGCTCAAAGTTGGAAGCTGAGGGTGGGAAGCAAAGGACATTCTGCCTGTGAATCTCACTCTATTTGGCAGATGTGGGCAGAGAGAGCTGTGAAGTTTAGATGCATTTCGTGATAAAGTGCCAGCTGCTGCCCAGATGGGACACAGTTCCAACCTCCAATAATATCTTTGCTTTCCTGTCTCATGGCCTCCATTTACCCTAGGGTTGACATAGCAAAAGCATCATGATCTCTCATATTGCTTTAGACATCTGGTGCAAAGAGAAATTTTCCCTGGGCTACTTGAAAACACACAAGATGTGGTTTGGCTGACCAGAAGAGTTTGGAGCTGAAGTTCGGCAATAAAAGTATAAGTTGACAGCATGACAGGAAATGCCACAGCTCAGACACTGCACATCACACATACCTGGATCTACCAGCTGCCAGCACTTGTCCTTTCTTCTTCCAGGGCCATTTCCCACATATAAGGGCCAGAAAATGGACTAGGAAGCTTCACTGGGAATCATGTGTCCTTCAGACTTGTTAGTGTCTTCATCAAGGCAGTCCTCGAATATCCATCCACCTGGGCTCCATATAACCTGGCCTGGTCCTCACTTTAATGATCCTCCTCTAGTTCATCTGAGCTAAATTCAAAATCAGTGACTCCTATTCTCTTCCTGATTTTAAGCTTGCCCTGTTGCTGAAGGTTTCTCTGCTCTATCTGGGAGAAGCAGGCCTCGCTATATAGCTTGCACAGTCCAGGGCAAAATGAAAATGCAGGAAACCCCTTCTCCAAAAGCAGGAAATAAAGTATTGTGAAGAGTACTAGAATATAAAGATTTTTCTTTCTTTCTCTTTCCACTTATCATGATGTGTTTTTTAAATATTTAATGTTATTCTAAGTAGAGAAAAATTAATACTTTAAATTATTAGCTTGAATGTTGTCATTCATCTTTTTATTATACAATGCTAGTTTTAAATTCAAGGATAAGAATATTTAACTCATTCGTGGATCATCAAAATTACACAATTTGTATTTCATGACATATACATGCGTATCTTTTTTGTTCTTTCCAGAACATTGGAAACACTGCACAAAGCCAAATCAACTGTTTTTCTTTTACTTCTTTGTATATACACATTCTACCTAACCTCTCTACCCTCAGCTTACTAATGAGAAAGAAAGAATGAAATAAGGAACTATAGATTTCCTTGTCTTTCCCTTTTCTTGAACGTCATCATTAAATAATGAAATAAGAAACTATAGATT